AAGGATGTTGTTTGCTGTGAGGAGGATGGAGTAGCGCTCCCAGCAGACAGGGCAGCACACGTGCAGAAGTGAAGCTCCCTTTTCGGGAAAGGAAGAGGAGGACGAAGCTGAAAGAGCAGGGTCCTTGCAACAGTGGATGTGGAGTCGGAGCAACCAAACGGGGACCAGATGGGTGGCGTGGGAGTCGGTTGTGGTGCTGAGGATTGAAACCAGAGAAACGGGACGAAAGAGCTCAGAGAGACTTTTGAGTATCCACACAATAATCTCATGAAAATCACAAGCCAGTTTCTTTGTAGGACTCTGCAAATGCTTTAAATAAGTTCCCACAGCAAAACAGGGAATCGTTTGGGTGCTGGGGTCCTTGCACAACTTGCTCCAGAACTGAGCCTCTGTCCTCCCCTCTTGTACAGCCTGCAGTGCAGGCTGAGTCAACACACGATTTACACTGCCACCTCTAAGAGCTGGAATTAAATCTTTAATTAAGGCAGACATCTCTTTGCTTGCTTTTAATTTCTTCAGCAATAAGGTTAAGTTAGTAACATTTATTAGATTGAGCTTGTAAGTTCAGTGTCAGTGCTGAAAGTGTCTTCAGCTCACACATGAGCAAACACACTAAATGAGTCTGGAGGAATAGAGGGATATGGTTTATGTAGTGCAATATGAAGACTCTAAGGACAAAGTAACTATTCATGAAGTCTTTGTGGATAATTGCTGTTTTCACAGCTTATATTTCAGTGCCACGGTTAAATTAAATAAGTTGATCGCTCTGGAAACACCTTCTTCACTGTACAAACCTTCTAAATACGAGGGTCTGTCAATATCTTTGTACCTTCAAGTTCTTTAACTTGGATTTTCATTTAGAAGGCAGAAGCAAAGCAGAGGCTGCACCCACATCTTAAAAACAGTAGTTTGTGGTGGCTTTTAGCATGGTTTTCAGATGTTGAAAAGCATCTCGTGAGAACATCATTCTGTGGTACTTGTACAAGCATCCATGGGGAACTTAACACTTTTTTTCTTTAAAAAACAATATTGGACACTTGCCAATATATAGGAGTGAAGTTGTTTCCAAAAAATTGCCTTGCTGCAGATAAACCTTTGCTATTTTAATAATACACGAGCTGTAGCTTTTAAATCACGGGCTGTTAATGTCACACCAAATTCCTCTGAATCCAGGCAGGGGGAACGCACTGGACCTTGTATTCTGGAGCGGGGAAAATCTACTGCCCCCACAAAGGGCAGAGCCCCTGCTGGCATTAAGCATCAGCAGCCACCCCGTGTCACCGAATCCAGAAAGAAAAGCAGCTGAAATGATGAGATCGGGGTTTGGAGCTCACCTGGATCTTTGCCCTAAATGCCCCAAGAGGAGCTGCGCGGGTGGCTGCAGAGTGTGTCGTTCCTTCTCCCTTCAGGCAAAGTAGGGCAGACTAAGTCAGGAGCAAAGCCCGAGTACCGGCACACTGTATTTATACCGAGTGAAAGCCTGGGCAGACTAGGTGAGGCGCAGCTCAGGTCCGACCTTGCCCCTGCGCTGGCCAGGCAAGAGAGGTTTGGGGAGCCTGGCTGCAGAGGTGGCCAGTGCCCCCCCTCACCGTGGTACACGCTACCTGGTCTTTGGGATCAAGAAGGTTAAAGTGGGGGCATGTTTTTTCTCTCTCATCCTTCGTCTTGATTTCCCAGAACTGCTCTTTGGCTGGGAGGAGAAAGAACATGCTTTTGGTTTAAATTACTAAAATGGCATACTTAATCAAAATCAGAATGTTAATTTCTTCATTTAAAAATTTTCCTGGGTGACACGATAAAATTGTTCTTCCATAACAAAGCGTGAACCGAGGGAGCGGTGACCCTGCTCGTCGATTGGGTCTGGTGTGAGCTCTCGTCCTCTGGGCTTGAGCCGTCTCCTGCTGACAGCCGGGAAGGGACCAGCTCCGCCTTCTCCCAGGACGGGCAGCACAGCCTCGGGTCTCGGCAGCCTGTGCCACCCCGTCCATAGTAACTCGCTCTTTAAAGCCTGATGTAAATTCAATTAAT